CCCGGGGGGCGGGGGCAGGGGACCGGGGGCCCCCCGACCCCGCTCCCACATCTCCCCACCCTTGGGCCCCTGGCGGCTGGCCAAAGCCCCACACCCGGGTCTCTGCTGCGGGGGGGGCCCGCCTGCTCCTCTTGCCGATCTGGGAACCAGCCTGGAGCCAGCTGGGACGGGGCTAATCCGAGCCGGACGCGGATTCCTCCGAGCTGGGGGGTGGGCTGGCGACTCCCTCCTCCTCCGAGTCCTGCAGGCAGGGGATGGGGTCAGGGTGGCGGGGGGACGGGGTCAGGGCAGCAGCTCCCGCTCCCCGCCACCCTGGTGCCCCACAGTGGGGACAGGGTGACAGCAGTGACTTGGGGACAGCTGTAGCACAGGGACAGGTCACCCACACCCTGAGGGATGTGACCAGCATAGCGCAGACAAGAGGTACTCTCAGAGGGTGCCAGCCCCTGTGGGGCCGGGATGAGTGAGCTGCCTTTCGGAGAGATGGACGGAGCGTCCCCTGGGAAGAGGGGCTGGGTGACCCAGCCCAGCCAGCCCCCCAAGCGCCCTACCTCCTTCTTGTTGTCTCCGGAGGAGCTCTCGTCACTGGAGACAAATTCCTTGCTCTTGAAGCTCTCACTCATATTCTTGGAAGAGGACTTGGAGGACAAAGACTTGGAGGCAGCGCCTTTCTTCTCCACTTTCCCCTTCATCTGCTTCTCCTGCTTCTTCTTCTTCTTTTTAGACCTCTCCCTGTGCGGTGGGAGGGCAGAGGGAGAGGAGAAGCGTTACCCTGCTGACAGCCTGCCAGCCCTGTCCCAGGCCACGCAGAGCCAAGGGCGCTCTCCATGCACCCCCCAGCCCTCCAGGAAGGGGGGGCAAAGCCCTGCCACCCCTCCCACCAGCCCGCCCTGCTTGGCATGCTCACGTCTTGGCGCTCTCTGACTTGCTGCCCACGCTGTATTCCTTCATGGCCTTCTCGTAGTCCCTCCTGGCGTCTTCCGCCTTGCGATCCCATTCCTGCGAGAGCAGAACGTCAGCCGGGGCCTTCTCAACACTGCTGCTGCCATCCACACCCCCAGAGCCCAACGCCATCCCCACCCGCACCATGTCCCTTGGCACCTTGGATCACGCCTACACTCACCCAACAGCCCACAGACGTTGCCTCCCCGCTGCCCTGCTCCCCCCCTGGCCTCCCACCCCCACACCACCAGGCTCCTGAGGCCGAGAAAGAGCCCACCCTTCCTCCCCCTCCCAGACCAAGCTCAGCTCTCCGGTCCCACACCTCTTTCTTCTCCTTGGACATGGCTTTCCAGAGCTCCCCAGCCTTCTTGGACAGGTCTGTGATGCTGATGCCAGGATGGTCTGACTTGATCTTCTCACGGTTGGCATTCAGCCAGAGCATATAAGCCGACATCGGCCGCTTGGGAGCATTGGGGTCTTTCCCCTTCTTGCTCTAGGAGTGGAAAGAACAAGTGTGAACGCCTCGAATGGCACCGCTCACCAAAGACCTCTGGACCTGGGGTTGCCGCGAGGCAAGGGGCTCGCTCTCAGCTTGCCTCCTACACCACACCAGCAACTCGGCTCCACCACTGGGGGAGATGGGTTGTCAGGTCACACCCACAGAAGCCGAAAGGACAGGCTGTCGGAGACAAGCCCCCCAACAACCAGAAAGACTGGCTAGGCATGGGCACAAGGCAGCCTCTGCAAGAGGCTCGACCTGGACTCATCTGCAGGCGGCAGC